CTGGATTTCCTACAGAGTTCGGTTCCTCCTGTCCATCTGCATTCTTACCTTTTAGTTCATAATTAATGCCCCTTTGGTTAGGGCAGCTAGAATTGGCTTCTGCTACTTCTACAGTCGACTCTTGAACAGTCGTGGGTTTTAACTCCATGGATTCATTTATACTCAATTTTTTATAAACATAGTACAATACTGTAAATGTACTTTCTCTTCCTTATAATTTTCTTAATAACATTTTCTTTTCTCCAAGCTCACTTTATTATAAGAATATAGCATATAATACACATAACACAAAGTATGTATTAATTGACTATTTATGTTATCAGTAGGCTATTGCTCAACAGTGGCTATTAGTACTTTAGGGAGTCAGAAGTTACATGTGAATTTTCAGTTGTATGGGGAGTCAGCACCCCAACCTCTCTGCTGTCCAAGAGCCAACTATAATTTTAAAAAGCTCTATCGAGTATGGTTACTGTGTATGAATCATTATATTTTTCATGTTCAAATGAGTGAGAAACTAGTGTTTCCCCAATAAGGAAGGCAAAGCACATTTGGAAAAAAGCAACCAGGAGGCAGGAGTTCTGGGTTTAAATATTCCTCTTAGAATCCCACAAATATAGAATCATAGACTATTGACATTAGTTCTTTAAGGAAACTCATTTCCACTGCCCACTAGCTACACCATACTGGGAAGAGTTTTTAACCTTTGTGGACTTAACTATAAAATGGCCATAAAGATTCTGTAAATGGGTGAGTGCTGAACCATTCACTCTACTGAGCCTTCTTGCAACATTTAAATCTATGATATTTTCAAAAGGAGTTTCCCCTGGAATTATTCTTGAAGCCACATTTGGCACGTCAAATGGTTAGGAGAGCTAACCATAAGAAGCCATACCAGTGGCTCTAATAAATGATAGGTAAAACTGAACATTTAAAAATGTAAGTGTAATAAATGCCTATATTGCCTAACTTTCCGTAAGACATTTTGGTTTTGCTGAAAAGCAAATAACCTTAGAACCGAACATATTCAACTCCCCTATTTATTTGAACATTTATCAAATACTTATTGAGAGCTAGCTGACACTGTGCTAGCTGTCATACCCTCAAAGGAAAGGTAACCTGCTCTCTGGGAGCTCTGCAGAGCCAGGGAAGCTGCTGAGGATGCACAGTAGTGCATCGTGATCTGATTGGTGCTGAATGGGGGTGTGTTCAAGAATGATGTGAGTGTGAAGAGCAGGTCTAGGAGGCAGGCAAGGGTGTGGTAGAAGGTGTCATGGAAAAAGTGATGAGTTTAGCCAAGGGAACAAAGCCGGGTGGGGTGGACTATGGTGAGAAGGAAGCTCAAGGCCTTTCTGGCAGTGGGACAGCATACCCAAAACATGGGGTTGACAACCACGGTTGAGGGTTTAGAGACCTGCAGTCCTAGGATGAAGTAAAGACCATTCTTTTCAAAGGTATTTGTGCATTTGGGTCTGATTCCAGAGAAAATAAGGGAGATAGAAGTGACCTTTTCTTTTAATGTTTATTTATTTATCTGGAAAGGGAAATAAAGAGGAAGAAAGAATCCCAACCTGGCTCCGTGCTGTAAGTGCAGAGACTGACATGGGGCTCCATCTCATGAACTGTGAAATAATGACCTGAGCTGAAATCAAGAGTTGGTCACCTAACCGACTGAGCCATCCAAACACCCCAAAAGTGAACTTTTCATATAACTGTGGGAACTCCAGTATCTAGATATTAGTTATAAACAATAATAAAGGGATCCAATACATAATGGGGTGATGGAATCCTAGGGAAGTAGATAATATATCATAAAGGAAGTAGAGACAACTTGCCTGAGACAGTGAGCTGATGAAAATAGTGAGCAATAACAAGTTACATTTATTGAGTGATTGCTAAATGCCAGGTGCTTTATACTTTGCACACATTGACTCACTTTATACATCACAACTCTATGATGTAGGTTCTATTATTATCCTATCTCAGGAAGGCGCCTCCCTCCCTTGCCTATTCCCCTTTCCTGTGCTTATCACCACGAATGCACAAGGTATTTTATTTATTTAATATGACTTTGTATTTGTCTCTCACTTTCTAATAGAAGAGACTCTCCTTAAAGGCAGGGGTGTTTGCTTATTTTGTTTATTGCTGTATACCCAAAACTTAGAAAACACAGTAGGAACTCAATAAATATTTGTGAACAAAGAATGATAGAAGTTGAGGTACAGAATGGCTAATAACTTGTCCCAATGAAACAACCAGGTGGTGTCAGGTCCTGGGAGCAATGGCTTTTTTAGTGAGGCCAGGGGCTCAATAGAGGGCATAACCGAACTGGATGCGGAGAGACTGGAACATCAGCCTGGTAAAAACAGGCTTAAAAATGTATTGATTCAGGGCACCTGGGTGGCTCAGTTGGATAAGTGTCTGACCTCTGCCTAGGTCATGATCTCGTGGTTCATGATTTCAAGCCCCACCTTGGGCTCTGTGCTGACAGCTCAGAGCCTGGAGTTGGCTTTGGATTCTGTATCTCCCTCTCTCTCTCCCCCTCCCCTGCTCATACTCTGTCTGTCTCTCTCTCTCAAAAATAAACATTTAAAAAAATTTTAAGTCATTGATTCATTTATTTATTCAATTTTTCAACAAATATTTACTGAATACCTACCATGCACCAGTCCTTATTCCAGGCCCTGGGAAATAACAGTGGGCAGGGCAGAAGGGGTTCTACACTTGGCATGGAGACAGACAATAGAAAAGGGAACTAGCGAATACATAGATTAATTTCAGGGATGATAACAGGACAGCACAATGTGATGAAAAGTAAACTGGGGGAGGGTGCATAACGTCATTAGCTGGGGTCTCCGGAGAGGGCCTCTTTGAGGGGATGTATAAGCAGAATCCTTCAGCAGGACGCTCCAGGAGAAAACAATGCTTAGAGCAAGGGGGACAGGGAGGCACAGGTCGGGAGGTGAGGAGAGCCAGGGGTGGGATTTGGAGAGCGGGATGAAACCCAGAATGTGTCCGTGGAGATGGCAGCTCTGAACAGGAAACTGAGAGCTCACAGCCAGCAGAGAAAAGCCAGCGTCATCTGATGGACAAAGTCTGGCTAGGACCAGAACCAAGTAGTTAAAGCAGTTGCCCAGAAAAGCATATCTGGTATTAAACAAGGAGCCCAAACCAGAAAAGACCCTGATTTAGGTTACCAGATGAGGAGCAGAAGCAGAGGGTACCATACAGAATGACAGGAATGTGGGCAAGGTGGACAGACTCCATATAACAAGTGAAGCCTGAAAGTGGCCTACACCAAATTGCACTATATCCCCCCACCATTTATGCACATGCTGTATGTCTGTCTAGAGCTGTGGAGCCATTGGAGGGGAGAGTGGCCTCAGCAAACATCTTATACAAATGGTATACACCTGGCCCATGGATCAGGCCAGTGATCCCCAACCTGAGCTAACATAAGACTCATTTGGAGTATTTGTGAAAACTTCAGATGACTGGGCCTCCTCCCCAGAAATTACTATTTATTATGTTGAGGGTGGACCAGGTATCTGCATCTGTGATATAAATGGTCTCCAACCAGGATTCACCTGGAGAAATGTGGAAGAGAATCCACTAATGGGCTTCCGGGAGTCCATGAAACCCTGAGAGTGAGTGAAAAATGTGTGTGCTTGCATCCGTGCACATTTCATTTTCTAGGGAGGGAGAGATTCCATATCATCATAAGAGTCTCGAAACTTAAGAACCACTGATCCAGTCCTGTCCCACTCTTTAGAGAGTAGGAAAATCCCAGGAATGTGATGACTTGCCTGATCCACAAAACTGGAAAACAGCAGAGGTAGGCTGTCACTCCAGACTTTTTGCATGCCCCTCACTCTCTTCTCCACACCCTGCTGACCACAGGAGTGGGAGAGAAGGGGAAAGGGGATTCAGCACTCAGGAGCAAAGTTGTCAAAGGATTTCTCGCCCTCATTTTGGCCCCAGGTGGGACGGATCAGCAGAGTGGAGGTTTGTAATGATGATGCCTTAATAAATGGCCCAGGCATTCACATGTACCCAGACCCTGCTATCTGTGGAAACTTCTATTCCATTAGGACCTAAAGCTGGGAACAGAGGGTGCATGTGCCTGGTTGTTGGATGCATGGTGGAAACAGAGCAACGTTCTTGTGAAGATCTGCCTACCTACACCCGAGCAGGTGGGCAGTTCTAGGCTTCTCTGCCTACAGTCAGATTTCCATCCCTCTACTTCCTCAGGCCAGTCTGGATCATGGCCCCACCTTTGTGAGTATGTTCCTCCCAGTCCAGATTCTGTGTGACTAACCCCAGCTAGCCTCCTCAAATTTGGTATGCATCCTGCCCTCCAGTGTTGGCCCAAATCCTTCAGACTCTGGCCTCAACCTGAGCTTCTGGATTCGACAGCCTTGCTCACCTTCCCCTTCTGAACTAACAACACCCCATCTTGGCCTTCTGCCTCTTTTCTGCACTCACTATTCTGTCCTGGGGACATGTCCCCTCCAATCGTGCCCCCACTTGGCCACCCTGTCCTTCCCCAGCCCACCTGGCTCGCACAAGCTGCTATTCAAGGGCTAACCTCATTCAGAATCTGACCCCTCCTTCTGTGAGACAGAGGTAACACCCTTTCTCTGCTTCACATGCGAGCCTGCAACAGCTGGCTCAGGAGCTGGCTCGGTAGGCCACAGGTAGACCCGGGCCCTGATCAGCAACTATGGCTCTCTTGCTCATTCTACATTCTCTCCGTCTCTTTTCCCTGCTCTGCTTGCCAAGTCCCTTTCTCTTCTGTCTCTTTCTTTTTCTTTCTTCTCTTCTTTTTCTTTCTATCCTTTCCCTGTGTTTTAGGCCTCCCTTGGCCCTTCCTGGCATCGCTTTGCCTGAGAGCAATACTCAGGAATAGAAAGGTGCCAAGCCCTTTGTGTTGACTAATGCCACCTTTGTTTTGGTGCCAGGTTTGTTTTGGAGGCAGATCTCCAGGAAAGCTGGACAGTCGGATTGGAGCACGCAGTAGGCAGAGGAAAACAGGCTGCTCTGTAATTTTCCCAACAGCCGCCTCAAATCTGTGGGTGATGGCTTTCGGACCCCTTGCCTTTAACAGACAAGGAGACAACCTCAGAGCTCAGGAGACTTGCCCCAGGTCTGGAATTAAGTCAGTGCAGCGGTGGAAGTGAACACAGAGCCCTCAGACTGGAAGCTGTCCAGACAGCTGTGTGGAGCAGGATCACAGCTCACTGCCTTTCAAAGCCTCAACCGTCACGGTCACACTGCGGACACTTGACAGTTACTTGAAAGTTGTGTTACGTGTTCCTGTCAATTCTTCATCCTGTGAAGGAGTAGCACTGTGCATTTCTTGGTGAAGATTAATCATTTTCTTTCTTGCTTAAGACAGGCTGTTTCTCACATCCCTACCCTGGTTTCGCTTGTCTCAACGATTTCATTGGAAGGGCGGGACATTCCCCCTACCTCCCCCCACCCCAACTGGAGCCTGCAATCAGGACCAATGAAAGCCAAGTACCTCACCACTCTCCCCCTCCCCCAACCGGGTGACTAAGAACTGAGTATTTAAGAGGTTGCAGGAATGGGCTGAGAACTGCTTTTGCTTTCTCCACAGGCAGGCTTACTCTCATCCGACTTGGGCCATCACTGAGCTTCAGAGTGAAGAGGGAAATCCGCCCAGACTCCACCACCACCATGTGTTACGGCAAATGTGCACGATGCATCGGACATTCTCTGGTGTGGCTGGCCATCCTCTGCATTGTAGCTAATATTTTGCTTTACTTTCCAAATGGGGAAACAAAATATGCCTCTGAAAACCATCTCAGCCACTTTGTGTGGTTCTTTTCTGGCATCGTAGGAGGGGGCTTGCTGGTAAGTTGTTCAGAATTATTACAAGCTTAAAAACTTATCTTCTGTTAAAGAGGTGTTTTCATGGAAAGTTTTCTATGATGCCTATTTCCAAATCCAGTTATCTTTGTTCATCTTCTTTTGAAAGCAGATTGAGCAAAAGTTGAGCTATGTCTAGTGTATTAATTTTATTAGACGTTTTACAAAATCCTCTTTCAACTAAAAGTGAACTTCCTTTTTGCTAAGCGCTCTCGCTTTACAGCTAGAAAACAGATATTAGCTTTTCAGTCAGATCTGAGAGACTCTAGAGTTTCTAGTACTGGAGAGGGTAGGCATTTAACATTTGTTCTAGGGAGCTGGAAGGGCGTCGCTGGTTCTCTGTCTAAATCAGCAGTTTTGGATCCAGACTATCTGCTATTTTTTTCTCAGGCATCTGTGACAGAAAAAAATTATGAATTATGAGTGTATTGCTACTTAAAAAGAAGGATACATTTTCTCCTTTATGTAATCCTGGGTGTGGTGTCTAGGAAAAATCCTACAGTTAGCAGCAGATCGGGGACTGAAGCTAAGAGTGGAATGTGTTGTTTTTTCCAAGGTTTGTTTTTAATTGAAGTGAGAGGAATTGCTTGCCAACCTGGGAGCTGAAAGTATTAGCTTCAACCACAGCACGGAAAGAATGTGGACAAATTCGAGCTTACCACTTTAAATGCCGGGATTGAGACGTTTAAAAAGACATTTTATGGAATTGCTAATATCACACAGAATATTTTTCTTAGTCAAGAAAAGACATTAAAACATTTAAATTTAATACACTGATGATGGTATGGCAAATCGGCTTTGAATTTAAGTATTGTTATCGTGTTAACATAATCGTTTGTCCTTAATATAACGTCACCCTTGTTTAGACTTCTTTTGATCTCAAACTCAGAGTATTTCATACTTTCTTTATTTAAAGACTTTATTGTGAAGCGACAATCATACAATCACATCATCAAAGAAAGTTTTTATTTATTATACAGCGCTTTCACCTTTCCCACTTACAAAAAAGATTCAGTTACTATATTAAAGACTTGTTAGTATCATCTGTGTTTACAAGGGGGAAAAGGCAGAATTAAAGACAGAGTTTAACAGAAACAGACTTTGCTTCTGGGACTATGTTAAGGACTCTTGTGGGAGAAACATATTTATGGGTTATTACCGTATCCGTCCCATACAGCACCCTCACCCTAAAGAATGCTTTGACCCATTACATGAAAACAAGCAGATAATCCATTTAGAGGTGTTTTTCTTTTTTTTTTTTCTTCTTCTTCATAGTTTTATATTCTTTGAGATATTGGGCCAACCTAACCCAAAACGATTCCACACTGTCAGAAAGAAAGGTATTTTACTAAAAGATGCTTAGCCTGACCCTTACGACAGGCGTTAATTTGGGGAAAGATGGTGACTTTAATTTGATTGTTTTCTAACCAGATATTCCTGCCAGCATTCGTATTCATTGGGTTGGAGCAGGACGACTGTTGTGGCTGCTGTGGCCACGAAAACTGTGGCAAGAGATGCGCGGTAGGTCCTCCAGCTTGGGTGGTAAAAATGGTCCCTGGGAGGCGGGCGCGACACTCTGGCTCACTTCCGCTCTCTCCTTTCCCTAGATGCTTTCTTCTGTCCTGGCGGCTCTCATCGGGATTGCAGGATCTGGCTACTGCATCATTGTGGCAGCCCTGGGCTTGGCGCAAGGACCAATATGTAGTGATTCTAGTGGCCAGTGGAACTACACCTTTGCTCACACTGATGGACAGTAAGTAATTGTTCCCTTTCCGACCACGCATTCTTGTGCACTGCATGGTATAGTGGCAACCCCATCAAGTTAGAAAGGCATCAATTATCCATGCATCCTGCACTCAGCCAGGCAGTGATTCAGGCACCAGACAGTGGTGTCAGAGGGTGGATGCCCAGTCTCTGACCTGGAAAGCTCTAAGTGCTTTTTAATGGAGTCACTGATTCAGCCCTCATGATACCCTATGAGTTGACTTCCACTATTGCTCCTGTTTTACAGATGAGGAAAAGGAGGCACAGCGAGCTGAGGTAGCTTATCCACAGTCACATTGCTAGGACATGACAGCCAGGCAGCCTGGCTGTATAGTTCGTGCTCATGTAGTGTGTGCACTATCCCAAAACAATTGGCTGATTTTACTATCTTATAACAAAATATTATGGAATCCTTACATAACATGGATGGAAAATGTATGATTTTAACCAAACCCCCAGATTGATCATACTGTCCCCAAACACACACATATCATATTATCACTATGTACAGCAAACCCTTTATTTTAAATAATCAGGAGGGGTGCCTGGGTGGCTCAGTCCGTTAATTGTCCACCTTTGGCTCAGGTCAGGATCCGCCTCAGGCTCCGTGCTGACAGCTGGAGGCCTAGAGCCTGCTTCAGATTCTGCGTCTCCCTCTCTCTGTGTCCCTCCCCTACTTGCACTCTGTTTCTCTCTCTCTCAAAAATAAATAAACATTAAAAAAATAATAAAAACAAAAAAAAATAAAGTGATCAGGCTACCTAAGGTCTTATACATGATCTTAGCATCAGGATAATTTAAGCTCTGTTGTTTTATGTCGATACTTTTTTCTTATCTGTTCTTGAGAAAAGAACAGAAATAGCTGATAGAAACTGATGTACATGACGGCAAATGAATGACATCCTTCTTTGAATTTTGAAAGGCTTCATTATGAGATTCATGAGTGAAAATAATATGAATAATGAATTTCAATTGCCCTTACATTGTCAAGACTCTTTGCCCCGCATGAATTGTATAGCATAGAGTGAGTACATAAAATCATGAACATGGAATAACATGGACCTGGATTTCATCCCAGCTCCGCATTTCTCCCTCAACAACTAGGAAAATGTAAACTGAGCTCTCTGCTTTTCAGTTACTTTGTAAAATAAAACCAATGGCAGTTGTCAAGAGGATAAATGAGATAATAAATGTAAAGCATTTGTCACAGAAGCTGACACACTCTGAGGCTGGCTTCTGTTAACTGTTATTATTATCTGCTAAGTCACAATGAATGCAACCCAATAGTAGCCTCTGAAGGAACATTAGCTTTACAGGGGTTTGAAATTTGGGTGGCCAAAATAGTGATCATGATTCAACTTTGTTCAGAACATACTGAATGTGTGAGTGGAAATTGGGTATTCATGTATACACAGGCATACAAACTATTGCACAAAACCACCTCTAAAAAAGATCATGATGGGTGCAGCTGGAATGCAAGGAGAAGTGAAAATATCACTAAGCATTTTTACAGCTGTTTGATTGTATGCCCCTCCCGCCACCCACTCCAGCTTCTGTAAGAAGCCTTCTGCTTCTGTATCATTCCTCACTTCAACCTGTCCAGGGATTTCAATATCAGGAATGACTAATGGTCACAAGCCAGTGATTAATTGCTCAATAGCCGTGTGGGCCAAGAATTTTTTTACATTGTGTCCTAAAATTACAATTTTCCTCCTGATACACAGAAAGGCAGGGTCATAAGGACAGAATTCTTTTTTTTTTTTTTTTTAATCAACACATTGAGTTTCTGATTGGCTCAATGAACCATTCAAAGTTAGGTCTCTAATTCTAAGCCCCTTTGTTCTGCTTTGGTAGGAAGAAGTGATAAGAAAAGATTTATACCAGCCCTCTTTGTGGAATTAAGTCAGTTGTAGATTTTCCCACGATTGAATCCTATTTCATTAAGAATCCAAATGCTTTCTGATGTAGCAAAGGCTGAAATTCTAAGAAAGTAATCAGAGGTTGAATTTTTCAGACTGTAAGAATACCCAGGTACTTAGAAAATCTCCTAAATTGTGTATATATATATGTGTGTGTATATAACTTCTCTGTGTGTGTGTATAGTCAAATGTGACTTCAGTGTGTTTTGCTAACATTTCACAGAGTGACTTCAGATTATTTATCATTCAATTACTTCTAAGATGTGTTTAGTACCTACTATGTGCTAGATACTGCCTAGGGGCCAATATATATACATTTATTTATATATATATTATATATATATATAAAAAAAATATATATATATTTCATTATATAATATATAATGAAAGGTCTGGTTCTGAACTTCATGGAGCTCACACTTCTGGAATAGTTACATAAGCAGATATTCTCCTGGCCTAGGGGAGATGCGCTTCCTTACACTTAGTTTTCCTGATCAGTGTACTTGTTGCATTGAGATCACTTATTGTCTCCTCCCTTAGATGTTGTGCTCTTCCAAGGCAGACCCCATGCCATGTTCACCATTATACCCCCAGTCCTGACTTGAATGTCTAACTCACAATGAGTGATCAATAATCTTCGTTGAATTTTACATGTATCATTGCAGCAAGATCTGGGCTAAATTCCTTACTTTGTGAAATGACTAGAAAAATTTGACACAGGTCATTGAATTTCTTTTTTCCTGAACAAAAAAGTACCACACAGAAAGTAGCTTATGAGACATCCCATTAGATGTGGTCATGTGTCAGAAATTTCTTCTTTTGATCCCCAGGTACCTTCTGGATACCTCCACATGGTCTCTGTGCACTGAACCCAAGCATATCGTAGAATGGAATGTTTCTCTATTTTCCATCCTCTTGGCTTTCGGTGGAATTGAATTCATCTTATGTCTCATTCAAGTAATAAATGGTGTGATGGGAGGAATATGTGGCTATTGCTGCTCTCGCCAACAGGTAAGAGCTGTGAAAATGTTGCAGCCTGGCCCTGGGGTATTCAATTACTTTCTTTCATCTACTTTCTTTTCAATACACTGTTCTTTTCATCATAAAGAAGAAAAGGCAAAATCAGACTCTGCTCAACCTACCAACATTTGTTCCTACATCATCTTTGTGGCAAAGCATTTACAACATTTGGTTTTACCCTTAGTAATAAGCTTCCTGAATATCATAGTTGCTGGGTTATCTTGGGGTTTTTTGTGTTGTTTGTTTTTTTGTTTTTCGTAGTTGGCTCTGTGTATACAGGAAAATGCTGCTTATAGCCAAAGTGTCCCTTCAAGAGCAAACTCATTGCCCCTTTCACTACCCCTGCTCTGGCCAAAGAGACACAATTTGGCTTGCTCCCTTGTTCCCAACTAGCATATGCAAATAGTGGTCAACATTCATTGCACTAGGCACGGAGCTAAACTCACGTGTCAGAAGAGACTATAAGTGGGAGATTAAGCAGTATGTCTAAGATCACCTAGGTGGGAAGTAACAGGCTTCAAACCCTGGGTCATTTTATGCCAGCTCCTGCTCTCAGCCTGTCTGCAACACTTGCTGTCCTATTGGATTTTCTACAATGCCTTCTAATAAGGAGTCACAAAAATACCCAAACAGCTAAGCGCAGAGGGTCACTAATAACCTTTGAATAGCAGCTCATGAAAAAGGCCTTTCACAGTAAAAGAAAACCAGGAAGCACTTGTTTCCTGGGGATATGATTTCAGAGAGAAGTATGCATTTGTTAGTAGCGGGGAAAGTTCTTGTTTCTATATCCTCCTTAAAAAAACATGTGGTAATGAATTGATGGAAGTCCAGCTTTGGTCCAATTTTGGGACGTTTGTTTTATGTCTTATTCTGTAAAATAGAATTAGGTAAACAGAAAATTACTTAATTTATATTTTCCTAATCATTTACTCCTTTGGTTCATTTAAAATAAGACAAAATCTAATAATGAAAACTGAAAGCCCGTTGCTACCATGAAAAACCTTGCTGTGAATAAATGGAAACTTTCTGATTTTTGAGGGGAAGTTAAAAGAAAAATTTAGTTTTCCTTATCAGGAAAGTACAGCAAGATTAATTATTTCCTTGGGAGCCTGCCAAATTTCTAAGAAAACAACATAGTGGGAAACCTTCAATATGGAGTTGTTTCTAGGCAGTATGGTTGGGGAGAGGCAGAGAAGAGTCTTCTCAGACTTACTCCAATATAATCTATCTTTAGCTTTGGATTTCATACAAGGCAAAGTTTAAATTAGGCGAGGCCCCACTGGACATCAGCACTTGTGCATTTTGGGGACAGGCATAATATGTCAATGACGAGAATTGCTGTAGTGACTTGGCAGAGTGACCCTCTTCTCGGAGCGGGGGTGGGGAGCAAATAGTCCCACTGGGTTTCCTGTCTGAGTCACTGAAGAGATGGCTTTTTCACAGACACCACAGTACAGATCTGCTATTTTTGTTTCTAGGACAAAAGACACTTTCAAAGGGCAAGGTTTTTAGTGGAGATGAGTCAAGTCTGTAACTTGGTAGCACTTAATTGGGAAGGTTACCCGCACTGAGCCCACTCCTGTGTCAAACTCCCATGGCATTATCTCTTAAATCCCTAAGATTAAAAACCTACCCCAAACACTTTCAAAGCCAAGAAAACCCCAGTAAGTTGTGGTTTCCATGACCCTTTCCTGCAGCTTTCCCTAAAAGAGGACAATGCTTCCCATTTGTTTAGGAAACATGTCATGAGCATTGTCTAAGCTCTCTGTGTTGTTGGCCAGAAGCTCCGTGAAGTGGAGATCAGCCTGCATTATGTTTGCTTAAAATGGGAATTTTTAGGACTAACATGGCATCATTGTTTGTTTAGCCTGATTATAACCTAATGCATATTTCATTTTCTTCACAGCGATACGACTGCTGAAAGAACCACCCCACGACAGAACCAGGATCTTCCTCTATTTCATTGTAATTTATATATTTTACTTGTATTAATTTGTAAAACTTTGTACTAGTGTATCATACTCCATATATTCTACTTTTATAAATGTGTATAAAGGCTGGCATCTTCATACGATGTCAGTTTGAGCGTAGCAAACTGTTTTTTTAGGACTGAGAAAACCCATGAGGTAATTTATAGACTGAATGACGGTCAGTCCTCAGCGTAGCTGAGACAAACTCTGGCCTGAGTGATGTTTTTAAGAAACACTATAAGGATAAATATCACATTCCAATTATTGTTATCTGTGCCTGGGTTTATTAAATGAAAGAGTTCTAATTGCTTTTTTTAAGATTGTGAAGGAGGAAACCCAACAACTTGAAAAGACGTGTCTTTTTTCTCTGTTTATACGGTGTTTCCCATTCATACACCTGCAAATCTCTGGCAAGAGGCTTTTTTGAAGCGTTTCATGTTTTGTGAGAGACAGATACTTGCCTAGAGCGGGAGTGCCCCGAGCTAAAGGAAGGCATCAAAACGTGCAATGCTGCCTTGAGTACTCTAAGGGCAGGGCCCAAGTTACTCTAACAGGTAGAACACCTTTTGTCCTTCAAAGACAAGCACTAAGGATCATGTATTTACAAAGAAAAAGGCCTGGATAACTGGAAGAGGAAAAGATGGGAAATGGAATAAAGCAGTGTATTAGCTTTATTGGACATTGCGGGAGGAGAAAGAAGGGCAGGAGGACCATGAGGAAACAACCCCCAAATTTGATGGTTTCAATACAACAAAATAAAGTATCCGTTACCATTTCTCTTCTTGTTTACTTTCACTGTCCTTTGTTTAATGCTCCCCCTTTTGGGGTGCCTGGGTGGCTTGGTGAGTTAAGCGTCTGACTCTTGATTTTGGTTCAGGTCATGATCTCATGGTTGGTGAGTTTGAGCCCCTCATTGGGCTCTGTGCTGATGGTGCAGAGCATGCTTGGGATCCTCTCTTTCCTCCTCTCTGCCCCTCCCCTGCTCATGTGCACGTGCACGCTCTCTCTCTCTCTCTCTCTCTCTTTCTCTCTCTCTCTCAAAATAAAGAAATAAACTTAAAAAATTTTTTTCTCCCTATTTTTTTTCCAGCCTTAAGGTTGTGCAGCCCCAATTGCTTAGGGCCTTGTGTCTTCCGGGCTTTTTATCCCACTTTCTCTCCCTCATCTTCTCCCTGCTCTGCTACATTTCTCTGCTCTCTGTGCATTGACCTTGGGGTCATCACACCACTTAGGTCCTTTCTCCTGGATGCTCTAGGCATCAGGCTCCTGGGGAGGGTAACAGACATTTTCTCCCTTCATATTTTCTATCTATTGTACAGAGTTAGGCTCTTTCAAGAAACAGGATTCCCTGATCTATTGGGAATCATCTTTAGAAGTTTTCTGCTTTTCATGTTTATTGGCCTAGGTAATAGACAAGTTAATAAAGAAGCTTCTGGGCTGTTGGACAGCAGAGCTCCTCCTGTATGCCAGGTGCCCTGCACTGGCTTCCTAACTGAATGGTTTTAATCTCTGCTGTGCTTCTGTCTCCCTCTGACAGTCCTGTGAAGACCATGGACTTCTTCAAAGAATGCCGTTTAAAAGTGCATAAAATAAAGTATGGTATTTCATCAAATTATGATCATTCATCAAAATGTTTTTGATAAGATATTGCAATATTTGTATCAAATTATTTTTGAAAATTATAATACAGTTAACTTGACAGCCAGCTCCGTCATGCCAGCATCTGTAGACAGGAAGACAGAGGTCATCTGTGTTCTGGCGGTGGTCTAGGGAGTGAGCCTAAGAACAACTGTACTTTTGAAATTTGATTCCAATTGAAAGGATATTTTGCGAAACCTGGAACAATTTTCATGTGATGCAAATATAATACATAATTTTGTACTGTTAATCAAAGCATGATCAGTATTGTTGATACTCCTGTGAATTGTTTCATGTAGTCATAACAGAAGAAATACTAAATTTTCATTACAGGTTAGTAAAAACATCGACATTTTTTTCTCTTTGGAGTTTAACACCCCCTCTCCCAGATATCTATCCATGGGCCTCTTGGGAATTCTTGGGCACCAGATTAAGAGCCCCTGAAAGAGAAAAGCCAAACAAGAAGCATAATGATCACTTATAAACACCTCTTTTTCCTAAATCTATCCTCAAAGGCAACAACAATAATAATGATTAATCATGATAGTAACAATAGCAACCATTTATTGAGTTCCTTCAATGCGTCAGTTACTATACTTATTTCTACACAGATTATTTCACTGAAATCTCTCAGCATTCCTAGGAAGTGTTGCTTGTCTCCATTGTACAGAGTCAAAGCTCAGAGAAGTTAAGCAATATGCTCAAAGATCTATCTTTAACAAGTGGAAAAATTATGATGAGAATCCAGGTCAATCTAACATGAAAACCCATGCTTTGCTGATTCCTCTCTTTGGCCCCCTCTTCCTCCTCTGCTACCCCTGCTCAGGTGCTGGGGTCTTGTCTCCTCCAGCACCGACTCAGCCTCTCTACCCACCTAAGGGAGGCTTTGACAGGCCCCTGTGACTCTCAGTCATCCCACCCCAGAGCTGAAATTTGAGTGACTCAAAGTTTCCCCTAGTTTGTAAATTCTTTAATAGTAGACATTGCCATTTTTTCCAGAGGAAATAGAGAAACAAATCACCTTCTGCCTAGTTTACTTATATTTATAGCTCACATTATGGGTCTATAATATTCCAAACCCTTTGATTTGACTGGAAATTCCCTCAGAGATTGTACCAAAGCAGCTTATTATATCACCTGGCAAGATAAAAGCAATATAATTACTGTAGAATCTGAGTTACCTGAATGGCACACATGGCCCAAAGGTTAGATGGCTCCTTCTGAGTATAAATTTACCATAGTTGCCACATTTACAAATAACTAGCTAAGTATAGTTATAGAATCTCTTGAAGTAAATATAAATATAGAATCTCTTGAAGTAAAATCTAAGGAAATTGATGGAGTATTACCTTCGCTACAGTTGTTTCTCGTACACATGTGAGATCTTTTTGACTATGTTTTTCCTCTGATGCTTACCCACCAGGGGAACAAGTATGGGATTTGGTGCAACTTTTCGGAAAAGCAAGTCTATAAGGTCTGCATATCCTTTTTAACCCTGTGTATGTGTGTATGTGCCTGTCTGTCATCTACCTGCCTCTCTATAACTTTTAGTAATTTATTTTAGGAGAATCATTAAGGCTATATGACTTCAGCCTTGCAGATACCACCACATGGTCCCCCTGTGCCTCCTACCCATGGTCAACTCCACCAAGATCTTCGACATTGCCGTGGCTAACCAGCCCTTGGGTCGAGTCTCCATCAAGCTGTTTGCAAAGTTCCAAAGACCGTAGAAAACTTTCGTGCTCTGTGCACTAGGGAGAAAGGATTTGTTTATAAAGTGTCCTGCTATAGCAGAATTATTCCAGGATTTATGTGCAAGATGCTTGACTTCATCATCTATAATGGCACTGGTGGCAAGTCCATCTATGGGGAGAAATTTGATAATGAGAAATTTCATTCTCATCACAGGTCCTGGCATCTTGTCCATGACAAATGCTGGACCGAACACAAACAGTTCCCAATTTTTCACCCGTACTGCCACAACTGAGTGGCTGGGTGGTCGGCATGTGGCTTTTGGCAAAGTGAAAGAGGGCATGAATATTGTGAAAGTATAGACTGCTTTGGATCCAGGAATGGCAACACCAGCAAGAAGATCACCATTGCTGACTGTGGACAAATCTAATAAATTTAGCTTGTGCTTTGTCTTAACTACCAGCCCATTCCTTCTGTAGCTCCGGAGGGCACCCCTTTACCCCCATCTACTAGAAATAGCCTATGACCTTTGTGCTCTCACTGCAGTTCTATGGGCTCCATATTTTACTTATTCCCCTCTGAGTTGTAGCTTGATTACACAGTTAAATTTAGGATTATGTAATGAAAACTAAACAAACAAAAGGATGTTCAGTCTCCAAGGATAATTTTGGGAGTAGTATTTATACCAAGAAAAATAACAAGAGCCTAGATGTCCAACAAGGAACTGGTTTGATAAGATGTCAGCACAATAAAATTTTATTTATATTTAGATTGATTTTATATATGCACTAAAAAGTAACTTTGGTGAGATTCTGGGTGATTTTTGTCTTGATTCATCTTGCCTATCTACACCACCTCAGGTTTTTACAATAAATACATATTACATTTGGAAAGAAAGCAAAAATGAGAAAACAAAGATTCATTCCTAAAATCATTCAGGGAGTGGTCCACAGTCTTTGAAGGAAAATCCTCAAGCATATGAGAAAACCATTGTTCTGTTGGTGGACAGAGGAGTCATTCTGCAGTGAACACTGGAGAACAATTGTGTAGGCAATTAGCCAAAGGGATGGGCCAGGTGAGACAGGCAGTAACCACAGGTTAAAAATATTATGGGGAGGCCATAATTCCCACTCTGTGTTTGGGAAATGAGGGTACATGGTGTCTACTTAGTCTAGCTACCAAATAAGATTTTTATAAATATTAACTACATATCTGTTTCTCCATTCTCAAAAATGAAAGCAATGAAATACTTTTATTTCAAACATGGCCTTTTATCAGGGCGTTTTGTAGCACAGCTTGAATTTTCCTCATTGTCCTCTTCTGAGAGGAGAGGGATGGTCACCGCTAGGTTTATAGGACGTGGTCCAGCCTGGTTGTGGAAATGATTCAAAGCACATTGTGTAGAGAAATTGTCACACAACCCAGGCTAGTAAAAATGGTCCTTCCTCTCCTTTTAACACAAAATAATTTTTGTGTTTTTTCATCTATGTCAATTTAGGTAATTTTTTAAAAAGTGAGCCAGGCTGGGATCTCACAGAATACTTAACTCTATATTGTTTAAGGCAATCTCTTGGCTAAAGTAGAAGTTCTAAAACTACACTCAGGGGCGCCTGGGTGGCTTAGTCGGTTAAGCGTCCGACTTTCGCTTAGGTCATGATCTCGCAGTTCGTGGGTTCGAGCCCCGCGTCGGGCTCTGTGCTGACTGCCAGCTCAGAGCCTGGAGCCTGATTCAGTCTATGAAACACTCTCTCTCTGACCCTCCCCTGCTCACGCTCTCTCTCTCTCTCTCTCCCCTAGAAATAAATAAAACATTAAAAATAAATAAATAAATAAAAAAAATAAAACTACACTCAGTTCTCTCAATAATCTCTTGACACCTAAGTTAAGTTTTTATTTATTTATTTATTTTACTCCCCCAAAATTTTAAAATATCTTTATTTGTATCAAAATTACACATTTACATAGTCTAGATAAAATCAGAAAGGATTTAATTAATTAATTAATTTTTATTTATTTTATTTTTTATTGAATTTATTATTTTTTAACTTCACATCCAAGTTAGTTAGCATACAGTGTAACGATGATTTCAGGAGTAGATTCCTTAATGCCCCTTACCCATTTAGCCCATCCCCCCTCCCACAACCCCTCCAGTAACCCTCTGTTTGTTCTCCATGTTTAAGAGTCTCTTATGTTTTGTCCCCCTTCCTGTTTTTATATTATTTTTGCTTCCCTTCCCTTTTGTTCATCTGTTTTGTATCTTAAAGACCGCATATGAGTGAAGTCATATGATATTTGTCTTTCTCTGATTGACTAATTTCGCTTAGCATGATACCCTCCAGTTCCATCCAGGTAGTTGCAATTGGCAAGTTTTCATTCTTTTTGGATTGCCAAGTAATACTCCATTGTGTGTGTGTGTATATCTTTATCCATTCATCCATCGATGGAC